CTTGACAACAGGACGTTTGAGTATAGCGTCTTGCGTTTTGACTGTCGCTACACGCACTATATTATCTGCACCTGGATGAACCTGGATGATTCGACCGATCTGCCATGCCATGGGCGGTCGTGACGGTGTGTTGATGACTACCAGGTCGCCAATGGACAGATTTGGTGTCTGCTTAAACCACTTTTGCCTCCCTTGTAGGGTGTGCAAATACTCATTGCTCCAACGACGCCAAAATGATTGTTGAGCTTGGCGTAGTAATTGCCAACGATTCAAACGGTTAGTTGGAGTATCGACTACATCCTTTTCTGGAAGTGCTGATAACGGTTGCCCGATTATGAAGTGACCTGGGGTCAACACGCCTAAGTCGTTTGGATCACTGGAGAGTGGTAGCATCGGTCGAGAATTCAAGACGCCTTCGATCCGCGTTATGAGAGTTGTAAATTCCTCGGTCGTGTATACTTGAGCACCGATCACTTTCTTCAAATGAGTTTTTGCGCTTTTGACGGCAGCCTCCCATATTCCGCCAAAATGTGGGGCTCCCGGTGGATTAAAATGCCACTTGCAAGGTATACGACCACATAAGGTATGCTGATTGGAGGCTTCATCGAATAATTTCTTCAGCTGTTTTGMAGCACCAACGTAATTTGTACCACAATCTGTGTACATGTTACTTGGAATGCCACGCCGAGCGACGAACCGGTCTAACGCAGCGAGGAATGCGTCAGTGGATATGTCTGATACGGTCTCCAAGTGCACAGCCTTCACCGACATGCACACAAATACCGCTAGGTATATTTTATTGGTACGCGCACCGCGACGTCGACTTTCACGCACCAAGAAAGGTCCACCGTAATCCATCCCGACGTTGAAAAATGGGCGGTTTRCTACCAGTCTAGCTGCTGGCAGATCCCCCATAAAAGGTCGTGGGTTCATACTTCTGAACCTGGTGCAAGAAACACAAGAATGGATAAAATTTCGGACAGCTGCTCGGCCAGAAATAATCCAGAACCTTTGATGTATCATTGAAAGTACTAATCGTGATCCTCCGTGTAGCGAGATGTGATGAAAGTATCGAATGATTAGCTCGGTGAGATGTGTCTTTTGAGGTAAAAGGATTGGATATTTTGAATCTTCGTTCAACTGTGCATGTCTTAATCTTCCGCCGACACGAATGATCCCGATTGCGTCGATGAACGGGGCTAACTGGGCTGTCGTTGTCGGAGTTATGGAACCTGGATTCCTTATCTGTTTACGTAGATCCGACAGATGTGTCAGTTGCGTACACAAGACCGCTGCGTTCARTGCATGGTCATATTCCATCCGAGTGATTGGTCCRCTGATATTAGGACTATTTCGACGACGGGCGAAGCGAAAACAATATGCCAACACGCGCTGCATTTTTGACAACGACGAAAATCGTTGAATAATTGACTCGTAGTTCGTTTCTTCATGTATATGCAAAACACTTGCTGTACACTTCGTCTCAGGTAGTTGATCAGTCGGTGGTAATGTTAACTCGGACATGGTAGACACAGGCCATAAATGGTCAGATTGTAACAAAAACTCTGGGCCATGAAAATGTAATGAATTCGAAATCAACTCAGAGGGAAGTAATCCTCTTGATGCGGGATCAGCTGGATTGTTCATGGTTCTGACATGGGCCCATTCACAACCTGGAGTTAATGCCTTGATTTTGGAGACTCTATTGGTGACGAATATCTTGAACTGTTTTTGGTCAGCGTGAAGCCAACTCAAAACTATCGTGGAGTCAGTCCATGCACGCACACGATCGATGTTGGTAAAACTCTGTAAAACTGTGTACTGGTGGGAGATGAGGCGTGCCAATAGTAAGGCAGCGCACAACTCCAAACGTGGAATCGTTAACGACGGATCAGTATCAGAGCATTTTAATGGAGCCACTTTGGTCTTACATGCAATAAAATAGACCTTGACAGCATTCCTCTGGTCAACCACACGTAAATACACATTTGCCGCGTATCCCTTCTGAGAGGCGTCAGAAAAACCTATTAGCTCCACTTGTTTTGAACATCGGATATCAATATGCCGAGTTAGCATAACCTGGGCTAGCGTGGGAAATTCGGAAATAAAGGTGTTCCACTTGTCAACTAGTTGTGTCGGCGGCGAAGTATCCCAGTCCAGTTTTTGCATCCACAATTCTTGCATGATGCACTTGGCCCAAAAAACAACGGGGCCCAACGCCCCAACTGGGTCATATAAACGAGCTATTGTTGAGAGTATTGAACGCTTAGTTGGATTAACTTTATTGATATTGATATGATAACCTAAAACATCCGATGTAGTACCCCAATGCAAACCTAACACCTTTACTGACTGATCGTCCTTAAGTTCGAAAGGTGCGTCAATTGCGCGGTCTTCGGTAGATATATCTTTTAATAGTGCTTCACAATTGCTGGCCC